AACATCTTACAGAGTTGTCAGATGTCTCTATTACTTTGTTCAGCAAATGAATTTTTGAGTTTAAGAAAAAAATAAGGGAAATTCCATAGCAAATATTAGGAAAAAAGTCATCTAAATAGTGGACAGTGCAATATATATCCTGAGTTTGATGTCTTCCTTGCATAAACAGCTGGACTCTATACTCTTTAAACAAACAACACCTCTAATAAAATTGGTGCACAAGATACCTGCTGAATACCAGCAAGATTTTAGACCAGGAAACCAAAGAGCTGAGGAATTGGTGGTTTATCATGTATATCATGGAACTATAACTGTATTCTCAAAGTACTACAGATACTAAGTACTTTTTCTCTGAAAAAAATGGTTTTGATATGATTAAATGTTTAGCATTATGTTCCATTTACTTCCATATTATATTTTCTCTATTTATAAATAAAATTCTTTTCTCACCTTCTTGCCCATCCAAAAAATTCTTACTAAGTCCTGAAAGTCAAGACAGTACTTCATGTCTTTACCAATGAGCTGCATTTTAAAGATTAACACGGTTTGTAGGAGTTCATAAGGCAGTTCACAAGTACCCTTGTCTACATAGCAAATTTGCTACCATAATAACCCTTTAAACCCTAGAAGAGGACAAATTGCCTAAGTCTCTTGGTAGGAAGGAGAACAGGGGCTGTGGGTAGATTTAATTTCACCTAACATTAACCATCCCAAGTTAGATGTCTCAATTTAACTGGCTGCTTAGTCTTTCTTTTCAGTAAATGGATGGAAAGAGACAGGTACTTCTAGACAGTAATTCATCCCAACTTAAGATACCTTTCCAAGCTAATGGGATAAATTGCCATGCCCATCAGAAGACTTTAGAATGTTATTTGGATGTAGAACAAGTTATAAACTTTGGCTTTGTTATTAGAGCATAAACTTTTTTTGTTTTTAGAAATACTGTCAGAATAAAGACACTTGTAATTCTTTTTCCGTGCCATGATTTTTTTCATAATTTTGGAGTGTGACCTTACATTGACCTCTCCTTGACTGACTGAGGAATTCTTTATGGACTCTGTATGTTCTTGGCTTGTACTGCATACAGTCACTAAGCCCTTTGCCCAAGAATGAGATAGTAGTACATATTTCCATGAGCTCTCATGTTGAGACATACTTAAATTTCCATGTATTCTCCTAAAATTTTTTTTATTGCTTGTTGCTATGTTATCTACTGTGTTCAACAGTAGGAATCTTCTGAGAAAACAGTTTTCCTGTGAACTGCATATAAAACAGCATCTTTGCACATACAGTACATCATTTGCTCTTCTTTTATCTGTGCCACTTTACTGCTATGAAAAATACTTTTTTTACTGCTCTCACTGGGATTTGGAGGCAGTCTGATGTTTCATCAGCATTCTTTACATTCAGGCTTGGGTCTGGCTGTGTGCTTGAAATGTTGCACCTGAATCTACATCAGATTTTTTCCTCTCATACTGACTCCTGTCTGGGCAGCTGTGTGTAGACCACGAGCTTTCCTCACCAGTTTTTCCACGATTTCCATCTCAGATACCAAAACTCACACATCCAGTTTCCAGTTTTATTTCATTCAGAAGTACATCTGAATGAAGATAAAAATCTGCTGTGATTCTTATACCTTTCTAAAGTTTTCATCAGAAGTTCATCGGTCTTTTAAAGCAACCGGTGATCACCTGCAGCTGAGTGAGTTTAACCTCTCTTCACAGGTGGGGGAAATGAGAAGAAGGGTCAAGGACATAAGGAACACCTTGGACAAGCAGGTAATTAGTGCAGTGAGACCTAATTAGTTTTTAATAGTTGGGGAGGGGTTCTGTACTTACGTATGGCTGAGAGGCAGCTTGTACTGAGTAGAAACAAGCTTAGGAAAGTAGAAGGGCTGGATATAAAATTAGCTAAGTGGGAGGGCTTAGGACTTGCTACAGACCCTGGAGTAGTTGAGAGCTGCTTGGTTTTGATGTTTTCAATGATAGTGTTAGGGAACTCTACAAGACCAAAGAGGAAGTTTATGTTCAGGGTTTCTGTTTAGGTGCTAGTTGTGCCAGTAGGAGAGTCCTTAAACGTTCTGTGTGTGTGCTGCGCTCCTTTTTTGAAAGAAAGAGTGAAGTGGGAGGTGATTTTAACTGAAGAAAAGGATGTGGCTTAAAGGGCTAAATGCAGCCTGTGTTCTCTCTGGTAAAATACCTTGTGAAAATACAACACGTGGAGGTTTCCTTTGTGCACAAGTTGTATGCAAAAGCTACTCATCCAGCGGAGAGTGTGGTCTAGCTTGTGACCCTGGCTGCTAGGAGTGAAGGGTCATGTTCCTAGAGGCAGGTGGTTGTCCAATTTCTACTGACTGTAGTGAAATGGGAGTGAGAGTGTGTGTGTTTAGTGTTTGTTCATGCATAACTTCTTAAGTCACTTGCCTCAAGTATTTTAACTGTTGAGATGATCGGGGGTTGTAGTCTGGCCTTCAGTTTTTTTCCTATTGCCCCTTAGAACCTGTAGAGAAGCTTATATGAATGTGTTTTCCAGATATTGTGTGTGAGCCTTTGCTCTATAACTTAGTAGTTTGGTTGCCTTGGAATGTGCAAGTGAACTTACTTTTTGATCTGTGAATGGAGGAAGAAAAAAATCCTGGAAGGATAGGGGAAATAAATGCTGATCTTAGACCTCTGTTTTCACTGGGGTTTGAGGGTTTTTTTTGTTTTGTTTTTATTTTTTTGTTTGTTTGTGTTTTTTTTTAAAGTGCCTACTTAATCAAATTGGAAAATGGAGGTCAGTTTATAAGTACTTCTGAAGCTCTAGTCCCTTCTTGTTTGTAAAGTTAAAAATATAATCATCTTCTGCCTTTGTCTTTGGAGGTATTTGTCTGCTGGGTGTCTGTTCTGGAAAGGATTTGCCTGTTTCTCTGTAATATTGCAGTACCGTTTCTCTGTGGGATATTTGTCTTTTGGATGTCCTTGAAACTGAGATGGAAGAGTTCAAAAGAGTGATTGCTGTAAAGGAAATGTACCTACTAAAGGTAACAGGTATTGGAGTAAGTAATGAAACCCAAGACTGGTATTTATGAGTTTAGACAGGAGGAATATGCAGTTTTATTGGACGATACTAAAGGCAGACATACATTACATATATATTAATTAAGACAGATGTGTGGTGCTTGTGGAAAGGCATCTTCCTGGCAAACAACTTCCAGATGCTTCTAGAAAATACTCCAACTATCTCATTATTCAACTTGTTGTTTATAGATTGACCAGTCATTCTCCTGAAGCAGATGGAGATAGTTTTCGTGTTTATAAAGCTGAAATCAGCATTGTGTACATTTTGTCTTTTCTGAAGTTTCTGTCAAAAGGAAGTATTATTCTGTCGCATGGCATATCTGTAGCCTGTCCTTCTAAGGGTGTCCAGGAGAAGCTAAATGCACTATACAGTAATGCTATTAATTAAATTTGTAAAATAACTGCTTTTTGATAGAGTAACACTTAAGCACAATTACAGCAGTGGCTGTTTCTCATTAGTGGGAATGACATGCCAGCTTTAGAATATGTAATGATGTATAAGCCCTAGTGGTTATAATTGGCATAGAAATGTACTATATCCTTGGGTGTTAAAAGCCATAAGCTATTTATTTTCATACTTACAAAGAGTGTACTACATTGTGGTATTAATCTCACATGGATTGTCATACTTGCATTTTTTTAGTAGAATTTATGTCCATGTGGTTCAAATACGAATCTGTCCCCCTTTTAGCATCCTGCTGGTGACATAATGTACTGATAAATTAGTATCTCATGTCTGTATCATGAGCCTGTTTGAATTCAGATCTCATGAGAAAGAAACTCAAACCTACCTGGTCTTCCTGATATGCATAGTCTTGCTGTCATGAGGGTTTTGTAATACCTGAGCTTATACAATATGATAATGATATACTTGCAAGAAATTGACTATTGGCTATTGCCAGGTGTTTTGGGTCTTTCTTGAAATATCAAATTCACATAAGTGAGAAGTGGATTTGGAGGCACCATATTATGAAAGGCTCTGGCCTAAACTAGGAGTAAATGGTGTTGAAGTTGACGATATAAAATAATTTTGAAACCGGGGGTAATGTGTAATAAAATAATTAGTGGAGTTCTACTAGACACAATATTGCATTGACTCTTTTGCAATATCAAAGGCAGTTTGATCATAAGGTCTATATGGGACACACATGAAGTGGAAATATGACACAGATGTGAAAGTATATGGTGTGGTCTTTTTCTTAGTGTTTCAGAAAAAAAAATTAGAGAAATGGGTGAGAGAAGTATAGGGATAAATCATAAAAACTGCTTGTTAAATATATAATCTATTACCTATTCCAAAAATACCTAAGTTTCATTTTTGGGTAAGGTACAGTGATTCTGAAAGAACAATTTTGCTGTATTTTCTCTTGGCACCCTTCCTTCAAGCCTCCTGACCCACAGGAAACACCACTTTTGGTCAATGGCTCAATGTCCAAGTGCAGAACAGTGACAACTCTTTGAGAGTGACCTTATAGCCAATTCTTTATCCACTGGGCAGTCCATTTGTTAAATCCATGTCTCTCCAATTTAGAGACAAGGATGTCATGTGAGACAACATCAAACTCTTTGCAGAAGTCCAGGTAGATAATGTCAGTTGCTCTTCCCTTTGGAACATGTTTGCTAAATCTGAGGAAGTTACCCGGCTGATGGGTAGTGCTTTGCAGCCCCAGTTTAGCATTTAAATTTGTGGTCTAGGTGACATGTTAAAATTAAGGTGAAAATCAAGGTTCTGAGGTTCAAGGCTGAACAGATCATTGGTTGCAAATTCAGCAAACTTTCATCTCTGATTTTAATGCTTCTGTATCATATTTGTGATTTCTGGAGGTTTTTGTTAGGGTTTTTTTTACTATAGGCACTTACATGGTTGACACTGGTGAACTTTACTGTGTGTATGACAGACATTTTGGTGAATATTTAACGTGCCTTTCTTTTATTTTGCAGAGACCTACAGCCAACAAGACTTCTGGTGCTCCTTCCTACAGCAGATGGTCCAGTTCGCAGCCCCATCAGGTAATATGACCTTGTCAAAACGGATAAGAAGTTCAGGTTGACACATGCTTCCTTTTTAAAATGAATCTATGGGAGGATCAGAAAGTGTTATCTACCTGCAACAGCCCAACTAGGTCATGCTGATCTCTGAGGGTGTTGCAGGATATCCTGTGGCAGACTGTTAGATGCAGTTCCTGTTCATGGAGGGACTTGTATAGCTGTGCCTCCTCTGGTGGGGTGGTGCCCCTTGTGGTTTGTCAGGGATGGTAGTTATGGCTGCATACCCCTATTCTTTGCATCTTGTCCCTTAAGTTAGAAGTGTGCGTGTTTGATGCTCTTTGGCAACACGTGAAGTCATGTTCTCTCATGCCAGCCTTTCCCCCCAAGGCCTTGTTTTTTGTCCTACTTAAAATAACTGGGTTGTGAAGTGGTTACAACGGTCAAAATTTTCAGGAAAACTTGTTGTGAACCCAAACTGAAGCCAGAAAGCTGTTCAGTGATAGCCAGAAAGCAATATTACTGGTAATGATTCTTTATAAGAATCTGAATAATATTCAGGGTTTCTGTTAGTTTGTCAAAACCGAAGGAATTTTTTTGACCATAGGCAAGGACATGGCTTGCTTTGCCATTAAAGAACAATGTGTTTCAACTAAAGCAACTTTCTCTTTAAAAACTCTTCAGGTGTTTGTTCAGTAGTGATTGTGTTGACATTGCTTTCTTCCAACCTCTACTTTTGGTTTTTTCCTGCTGCTTTCTACCTTCACTTCTTCTTTTTAAAAAAAGACCCAAACAACCCACAAAACCCAAAAACATCACCCTCCCTTGACACTATGAAAAACTTAAATTACTCTGGTGAGTTAACCCTTGATCTGACATGTTGGATTTTCGTTTTGAAGGACGTGCATGCACTAAGGGAGGAAACTTCCAATAAGTTGATATTTGGCCTCAAAAACTAAATCCAGAGAAACCATGAATTTAATTTGTATTCAAATTTAGATGGGGGGGACAAAAAGGCAGCTAAATGCTTCCTGGGCTGTTAGCTACCTATTTCACGACCCTTCTAGCGTTAATAGTTCTGTTTCCACAAAGTAGTGTGACAGTTTTGTTCTTCCTCTTCACACAAAAGTATGTTTTTTGCTTGCAAAGGTTGCTATGTTTTCTTTCACCTTTTAAACATGGAATTTTTACTGTTGGGGGGAAGAACGAAGAATATGTAGACAAAAGGTTAATTCATTTCAGTGGTTATTGCTTGCCCCATCCTAGGGCATCAGGCAGGGAGCAAGAAAAAGTTCATGGAGTATCACTAACATGTACAAGGACTGTTCCCCTCTTCCTGTGTGTCTGCAGTTGCATGGGAGTTAGTGGGAGGTGCATTCCTAAGTCAGGAGGAGATCATCCTAACAAATCAAATGAAGTGCACCTTATGCTCTACACACTTGATTTCCTTTTTGAGGAGGAAAGGGAAGATAAGTGCATAATAAAGATTGTTTGTAGTGTTACAACCCTGTCAAACCAGGAGCAGAGTTAAGGGATTAACTACCAGGAATGTTGCTTGAAAGTATGTCTAGACCATCCAGCATCTGCAGGAAAAAGGTTGTTCTAATGTATTAAAGCATGCCTGTGGTAATTTTCCCCCACCTATGTTGTACCCCTTACATTTTAATCTCATTTTCCTTTGTCATTTACGCTCTAATCTTTTCTTTTTCATCCTTGTTTATTGTAAGCTTTTGTCTGCTGTGTTTTGGGTTTAATAAGCCTATAAACTTGCCTCATGGATATTACAAATGCCAGTACCAACTGTGAGGATGTGTAGCCATGCCGTGGTTCAGTTTGGGAGACCTGAATACTGCTGTGCACTCTCATGAGCTGAGTGACAAAATATTTGTATTGGATCAGAGATTTGTATTCAGCCTTGCAACTTGTCAGCATCTATATATAGTTTATTTAAAATTATTTTTTTTTTAAGATGGCTTTCCAGGAAAGAAAAAGATTAAAGTTCAAATTCATATTGCCTGCATTTTCTTGAGTCTCATGCAGTGAACCCAGTGAAGGCTTTTCCACATGCATCTTATGAGAATCCACACAGAAATTTAATAGAACTACATGGCTGAGACCTTTGATGCGGCTAAGAAATGTTAAAAGTTAAATTGATTCCCTCCTTCCCTCACCCAAGTTTTCTTTTTTCATTTCCACAATCTGTGGGAAGTTGGAAGGTGCATTGGGTGAGAGATTTGAAAGGGGTTCTGTAGGTGGGGTCAATGAGTCACAGAAAATAACATATTTTTCCCTGACTTATTTTGCTTTGTGCTACCCAGACATGCTTATATTTTGTGTCGGATGAGCTGAAGCATGTTTATCTATCTCAAATATGCTATCTGGGGAAGGTTTTTAATAAGTTTCTATTAACTAACCGCTCTCATGGACACGTGGAATTTGTATGCTAAGGTTTTTTTTATGTGAAGCTGCTCAGAGAATGGTGGTTTATTTGGTTTTTTTTTCCCCCCTGCCCCTTAAGCCTGGGAAAATGTCTTGTTGCAGGGGAGGCATCTTTAAAACTTGATTTAGAGGTTCCTTCTGACTGCCCTGGGAAAGAGGCATTAGTACCTTCTTGAAGCTATTTTTTTTTTTTTTTCAAGCATTCCACTTTCTCAATGTCAGAATAAGAAGCCAATAGTCTAAAAGGTTGATCTTTTTTGAAGTCGAGGAATTAGTCTATTGAATTAAAGGACTTGAGGGGTGGGCAGGAAAGCCAAACCAAACTCAAGCTTCTGAACTGGCATTCACGGAGCTGTGTTGGATCTTGCTGCCTTCAGATGCACTAAACTGGCTTGAGGGATGGGATCAAGGAGCAAATAGACGCTAATGAGCCAAAATTGCCTACAGTACTGTGCTTGGCTTAGTGGCACTGCTTGATGTGTGAAGTCTGCGGCAATTTTGTGAGAAGCTCTGAAGTGAACTTAGTCCTTCTGTGGTACTCTGAAGGCTGTGTGTGCTTCCTCAAGTGCAACTGGCTCTTACTACTGATGAAAATGAATGAGGAAGTGGCATTTTATCAAGCATGATGTTAGAGCTGATTTATAACATGATGCTGCTTTTGCTGAGTGGGATGACAACCAAGGAAAAACTTCTTAAAGTTGTGTGGGACAGTCTGTCTGACATCAGGAATCACAGGTACACAGGCAGGCTGGGACACAAGGCACTTGGCATTGCAGCTTGGCTGTCCCTAGAAGCAGTTTTAACATGAACAATTCACTCATTACTGGTAATGACTTGAGAACTATGTGCTAGGAACTACTGGGGTCATATAGTGAAAATGAAGAAAAAAACCTATTTCTTCCTTAGAAAAAACAGATGAAAACCAGTATTTCAGATGCCAGTTTAAGGCTGAGGCGTTGAAGGAAACTATAGATGAAGTGTCCTAAAAGGAAGAATAACAAGACAATGATCCTTCTAATTTGCTATGTGCTAACTGTTGATGAGGCAAAAAGTGGGTAAAACCTAATCAGATCTCAGAAATAAATTCACCTTATATGCAAGCAGAAGACAGTGATAGGCTGTCTTTTCTTGCTCATGAGCACACTGGGGAGCTGGTGAAATCTGACAATTCATTTTGTCTTTACTGTTGGCTGGTGTCTTAGTGGCAATATTCCAGGTCTCTTGCACAACAGTTGTTAGCTAGGGTATCTTTAGAAATGCTTAGATTATATTACTTTCTAGAAATATATGAATACATCTTTAATATTAGGTGCTAAATGAGCCTGCAGAATAATTGGTGTGTATTAAATGCCATTAAAAATAATATAGAACATTTCAGCATTTCCTCCCTCCCTATATCTATTAGCGAGACATTAACTTATGAGCTAATGAAGTAAAAATGCAGAAAGTGAAACGGTGTCCAATGGGCCACAGGACAGGTGGACTCTTAGCTGAGCTTCCATAAAGTTTCTCTGTCTGGTTCCACTGCTGCTTTGTTACACAGTTATTGCTCTGGCTTTCTGGTTGTGGTAACACAAGCTCTTTGCTTTCTTGCTGGTCTGTTACTGAACTTGGCATCAATGCCCTAAGGTCAGAATGATGTTTTTTCTTCAATATCCTGCTCTTTAAACATAGGGATGAGTATGCAGTGGTTAACAGTTTCTTAGAGGAATCTGAACAGACAGTGGATGTTGACAAACATTCAGTGTAGTATCTAAATTTTAAACAGATCTTCTAGCATTCCATGTGGTAGTTTCACAGCTTCTTTGTGATTGAGATGATGGAAATACCAGTGAACCAGACAAGAAGACAGAAGCTAGGAAGGATGATATTCCAGCTTTACTGTGGCAACTGTTTCATTGAATTCCAGGTCAGAGATTTCAAATATTTCTCTTGCTTCCTCCCTGTTATGTATGTGTGTCCCTGCTTTCCCCTTGCCTTGTTTTTGCCCTTGTGTTCTTCCTGTATATGTGTTGGAGCAGTAATGTGTTGATAAGCAGATAATTAGACAGGTGTCAGTTTAGTAGTCTCTTTCACAGTGCATAAGGTCAAATGAACCTTCTGATTAATTGTGCAGCATGAGAGTAGAGCATTTATTTAGTTTTAAAAAGCTACTCCAGGTATGGCTGCTGGTAGCAGTTGAGATTATTACAGCCTGCTTGTATCCAGAATAAGACACCTGCAGAGGAAATTCATCACTTCTTAACGCAGGGAGATGGGTAATGGTGAGTTTCCTTTATGGGATCCGGCATGTCACCTGAACACAAAGATAATTGGAGCACCTGTTAGCAGTGGCTCAGAAGATCCATTCCTGTGGAATGACTTTTCTTTTAAACTGCTTTGAGATACCTAATTCTAAATACTAAATAAAGAGTAATAAATAGTCATGTATTCAGCTCTTTAGAATCTTATTTGTTTGTTTTCCCTTCAGTGCCTCAAGTCTGACTTGGAAAAAGTCAGTATTGAGAAAGTCACTGTCTCCCTGATGACTCAGCTGTTTGCTTTTCTGCTGAGCGCTGCACTGTGGCAGTAAACTTTAGGTTATG